CTCCTGCGGCCGCGGCCGAGGGGCCTCTACGGCTCCGGGAGGCGCCTCCTCCCCGTCGAGCTGCCTCCCCTTGCGGCCGCGTGTTGGTACACGCCGCCGCGCGAGAGGACTATGTAGGGAGCGCTCTGGTGACTCACCCGCTGGACTTGGGGGGAGTGAGGGGAGCGGGGCTGGGGACCCTCCAATCCCACCCTGGAGCCTGGGAGCTGTGGCTCTGGGGCCTCGGCGGCAGCTTCAATTCTAAATTTTCTCTCAAACCCACCTCAAACAAAATCCGCCCGGAGGACGTCGGGAGACCCGAAGGAGGGTCACAAGGAGACCCCTAAAAGGGTTAGGCTTTCTATCCCTTGGCCTTGGTTGGAATGGGAAGAGGCCCGGAAGGCTTGCTGCCGCCCTTCCTCCTGCATCTTATGGTTGGTGTCTTCCTTGCTCCTCTGGGGTAATTACAGGCCTGCACTACTGCTGTACTCAGGTCTCTAATCTGCTGGGTCCCTCATGTCTCCAAACTGGGTGGTCCTGGCCCTGAACCTCCCCATCAGACGACCCCTTCAATCTTCTCTGAAGGGTTTTCTTCCCTGTGGCCTGTTGAAGAAGAGAGTGAGCCCCCTCTGACTCCCCTCCCCAAAGTAGCCCTGCTTCCCAGCCCTCTGGAGTGGATCCCCCAATTCTCTGTTAGTGCCGGCTGCGGTGGGGCCTCCAGCCAAGTCTGGCACAGCCTGGGCGGAGTGGGGGAGCTTGCCGGGAAGGTGGATCGATGGTGATGCTGCATGGATTGACAGGAGAAAGGAGGAGGCACACCTGGGCCTGCCCACCCCCCACCCTGCCATTTTTCTTGACCTCAAGAAGGTCAGTTCGCCATTGTCCAGAGATTAGGCCCAGTGAGATACTGTCCTCCTGCCCCCACTTCCCAAAAGGGTCTCTTTCCTTGAGCAGCTCCAAGAGCTGCCATTTCAAGGGGGAGGGGGGAAACAAAGAGGTCTGGGTCTCAGGCAACCTGAAAGCAGCTTGTCCTGAGAGGAGTGAGTGGGTTGGGGGCCTGAATCCTCTGAGGAGAGGTTAGGGAGGGAATAGTTCTCCCTCTAGGCCAAAATCATTAGAAGAGGATGTTAGAAGGCCTGCAAGATAACCTTAAGCCAGTGTCTTAACTTTTCTGAAACCCAGTTTGCTCACCTATAAAATCAGGAAAATAATGGTCCCATGAGGAATCATGGGGTCATTGGAAAGGTTAAATACGGTAACACAGATGAAGTACTTAGCATAAAGCCTGGCATATAGGAAATGCTTAATAAATAGTCATGATGATAATGATGGGGCTTCCAAGATAAAAGCAAATTAGGATGAGGAGCAGACTATCCATCTTCGTTGTCAGTCATCTCATCTGGAGGGTGAGGGTGAGGGGACCATGTGGATAATGGGGGCCAGGACTGTCCTTTGTGAGGTCAGAAGCCTCAGGGACTGTATCTTCCAGAGCTGAACAGGTGCACTCCGAGCCAGGCAGTGACTAGACTCAGGAGAATTCATGAACAGAATCCACCAGGGAGAGATCCCTCTGGGATGGTTCTTCTCCCACCCCTGATCTTGAGGGACAAAGAGACAAATTGGTGGAAATAGTGAGATACCTTCACTGGCTAGAGCTTAAGGATAGTGGAGTAGGAAACGGTAGCTAAAAATCAAGAGATAGGCCAGGGATTGATTTGAATGACAATTGACAACAGGATCTGTAGATCCCGTTCTTCGGAAGGGGAGTAGAAGCACCTTAGAACTGGAAATCTCTGTTGCATCTAATGATCTGACTTTGAGGAACTCACTTCAGAGACAGTATCTGGTATTAGCCTCTGTCAGTAGTTCACAACCAGAGGCAATTTTGCCTCCCAGGGGACATTTGGCAATGTTTAGAGGCACTTTTGGTTGTCACAACTGGGGGTGTTACTGGCATCCAGTGCTTAGACTCTAGGGATGCTGTTTAATGTCCTGCAATGCACGGGACTGCCCCTAGAACCAAGATTCATCAGGCTGCAAATTATAAATGGTGCCAAAGTTGAGGAACTCTTCCCTAGATTGAGGGTAGAGGCACCTGCACTCCCTTACGAGATGCTAAAGGTGGGGACCAGCAGGGCGTCTGGAAGTTAGGCAACTTGACAGTTGTCCCCTCCAGCCTCAAAAGACTTTTCCTGCATGCTGATGGGTCCACAGGGAGTTCTGGGAGGATGAAGCCTGGAGAGCACCAATGTCCTGTGATTGCCGCTGTCAGAGGAGACAAATGGAGTAGGCATCTCTCCATTCTCCCTCTAACCGATTGGGATCCTAGGCTTCAGCCACGGAGAGGGTTTAAAGTGGGTGTCTCTGAGTTTGGGGCTGAATGATAGTGCCTGGAGACCCCACATGCTCATCTTCCCCAAATATATATCCCACAGAAGGAGAAGGTGTGGCACTTGCAATATCTAGGGCCGAAGCTACAACAGGATGCCCTGACCTCTTAGGTGAGAGGTAGGGGACTCTGTTGCCTCTTCAGGGCCTCCCCTACCGCCCAGGGCAGTCCCCTCCCCCGCTAACGGAAACAGGCATGAATGAGCCGTTAGTCTCACCACAGGCTGGGCTGAGGGGGGCAGGTCACTGAATGAGGATCAGAAGTATGTCCCCTTCCTGATCCTTTTAGGGGGAGAGCAGAAGTAAGAGCGTTTACAATCTCCTAGGTTGTGAGGCAGAGTCCAGGATGAATTTGATGGAAGGTGGAAGGAAATCATTGGGAGATTTGACTCAGAGATATGAATCAACACCAAAGCCCTGAGGCTGCCTCCACACCAGCAAAGTAGGAAAGTAGGAGGGGCTGGGGGGGGAAGGCAAAGAAGAACAGACACTAGATTCTCACTCCTACTCCAGCCCCATGGCATTGCAGCATGAAGGGGTTTCTAAGCCGAACTGCTTTCTTGGGGTGCTCTAGCCTCCAGGGCCCACTATCTAGGGCTAGGAGTGGGGAATGTCCTCAAGGGCATTGGTGACACCAGCTGCAATAGAGTCTCATTCCTTCCAGCCCTTGGGGAGTGGAGGAATACAGAGGGATTGGAGGGGGAGGAATTCAGATCCAGGACGAAATAGGTTCAACCCTTTGAGTTCCTGGATAGAACTCCTTGTCTAAAATCCCTGCTAGGGATGGGAAGCTGCCCTTGCTGCATTCTTTTCTAAGGAGAAGGAGACGCGGGTGGGGAGGGTTACCTAGTGTTCTTAAATGTCCTGGCCCAGAGGGGTAGTAGAAAGGAATTGGGGTTTTGGATTGATGGGAGCTATACTGAGAGCCTTTGGAGCAGCTGTCTAAGGATCTTTTAAATTCCCATCTGATCCAGGAGTGAACGCTATAGGTCAGCCAGAAATGGACCCCACCGCACCCTTAATTCAGGACTGAGGACGCTGTGAGGAGGAGTCCCACAGAAAAAGAGCCAAGAAGAGGAATCATAGAGAGGAAGAATTTCAGAGGTTGGAAGACAGGAGAGGCTCCGCCTCCATTCTCTCCAGACTCTCCCTGCTTGACAGCAGGCTGGGTGGGGTCCGGCGGCAGGCCGTGACTGTGACTCAGGTTTCTGTGGGCAGCCAAAGCAGCCAGCAGGGAGGAGCCCAGACCGACAGGCCAGCCAACTGCAGATTTCACCTCAGCTGTCCTCTCTCCTGAAAATGTAGGAGGCTCTTCTCTGGCTGTGCTGGTCTCTGGGTGCTAGCTGACCCCTGCTCCGCCTCCACTCTTCCCGTCCCCGCCCCCCCGACCATGTTCCTTCCCAGAACTCTCAGCCCTTGTTCCCCTCCCCCAGCGCACTGACACAGGACGGAAAGTCAAGGGGCACTGCCTTTAGGGAGGCCCCAGAATGTCTGTGCCACAGGGAGGAGGGTATAATAATGATTTGTCTTGCACCCGGAGGGAGAGACCTGGGGAATCTTGCGCACTAGCTTTGAGCCGAGCCGCCTGGGCCCCCCAGTCTTCCTCAGCATGGCTGGCTCGTGTCTGGGCAGGCTTGTTGTCATGGTGAAGGCTAGGGGCTAGAATGCAGCTGCTGCAGAGTCAGGCTACCAGTCCCTAAGAGAAGGTGCTCAGTGACTCCCAACCTTGTCCCTCAGAATTGACCAGCTAGAAAGGGCTGGCTGGCACTTACACCCAAGATTTCTGGTCAAGGACTGTAGGACTTCCCCTTGGTGATGGGTGAGGGTGTGCCAGCACATTACCCTGGTATTTCTGGGGCCTGTTTATTGGACTGTGTTTTTAGAGTGGCTGGAAGAAAGGGAATACACATTTACTTTGTGCTCAAGTGCTCTGCATACAGAGCTCACCAGTCTTCACAATAACAGAGAGAAATCCAGCAACTTGCCTAAAATGGTAAAGCTGAGATTCAAACCCAGGACTGGCTGCCGCCAATGCTGGTGATCTTTCTTTTATGGAAGCCAGGCAGTGTATTATTCATTCTAGGGGAGAGAGTGGGGAGAAAGTGACCTGAACTTTATCTAATACACTGGCTATTCCATCACGAAGATGCAGGTGTTGGCTGCGTTTGGGGACAGACGGCAGTTTGAAAAGAAAGCCACTAACAAAATGTTTGGCACATAGTAGGTCGTCATTAAATATTTTTGTAATGAAGATCTATGTATGAGCCATTGCTAGTTTTTTGGGTCATCCTGAGAGCTTCTGAATTGCAGCAAAAGCATAAGAAGCTAGTTCAAAAGAGGGACTTTCCAACCCTGGCGAGAGAGGAATTTGCAGAGCATTCTGAGTGGGGACTGGATGGGTAGGGAGGAGGGGGAAGTGTTTGGATGATACAGGATTACCGCAAGATGCGGACGCCACCCAGCGGCCAGAGTGCAGTTTAGGGGCAGGCAGGCTCAATGAGTCAGCCGCGCGCGGACTCTCGGGAGTTGTAGTCTGGCTGCGCTAAGGGGCGGTGCTGCCAGTGGGAGTTTTGGGTATTGTAGTCCGACGTCTGTTGGGCGGGAGTTACCCTTGTTGGCCGGACCACGAGTCCCGTGGTGCCCCGCGGCAGGTCGCGCAGGCGCGGTGAGTCTGTGCCGGTCTGTTCCGAAGGCTGAGGGGCAGCGGCTGGGTGTCAAGAAGGGGTTGCCGAGCGGGCCTGTGGCGAGGCGGGGTGGGCAGCCGGCACCATGTCGAGGCAGGCGAACCGTGGCACCGAGAGCAAGAAAATGGTAATTTAGGCCGCGTGGCCTTAGCGGGCGGGGCGGAATGGAGGCGTTCTGGGGAAGGGGCTTTGCGCGGGGCGCAATTGGGTAAGAGCCTTCTTATGAGCCCTGGGAAGGGGGTGGTTCTACAGGATGAAGGAGAAGGAGGCTCCCTGGCCGGGAGGAGAAGGGGGAGTCACTCGGGGGCGCGTCCCAGGCCTGAGGCGGGTTGGAGGGCCGCTGGAGTACCTCAGAGACCCCTCCCCCGCGGCCTGAGTGCAGCTGTGTGCGAGGCCACCAACGACGACGGTAATAACAGTAACTACTACCTATTGCTTTCTTCCTGTGTTAGGCACTGGGCCAACCACTTTCAGTACATTATCTCACTTAATCCACAAAGTAATCCTATCAAATGGATAATATTATCTCCATCTTACAGTTTAGGGAGGTTACATAACTTGCCCAAATTTACAGCTAGGAAGAATTAGGATTTGAACCCATGTCTAACTCCAGAGCTAATGCTTCATACTACTAGGCCACACTTGCCTTGGCGTTGTAAGATGCTCAGATAATGGTTGTGCCAGAAGAGAACTTTCTGTTTGGTGGAGAAAGAGGGTCTAGTTTAGGAAGTAAGTAGTGCCGCGTTGGTCGGGGGATGCTCCCTTCTCTCCTGCAACAGTGGGACACCATATAGTTTCATAAAGTTTGCCTGCAGATGAGTGTGGGCCTGGAAAATAAAGTAGATGACATTTTTCTCCAAACTAGAGAGACTTCTTGGCAGGTGTTCCTTTCTCTTTGCCCTATTCTTACTTCCTCTTGAATTGCCTACACTGTCTGTCTGTATTTTCTGAGTAGTTTTGAAAACTGAGTAGTTTTCATGTTGGGCAGATCTGGGGCTTTTTGTTGATAAGGCTCTAGAAGGAATGATTAAACTTCCCTCACACCTTTGCATCTTCTGCCAGGAACAGCCACCAAAAATGTGCTACAGGAGGCCCTATTACTCTTGAGTAGTACTTTTTCTCTCAGGCTCCTTTTGAGAAGCTGATGATACCTATGGATCTTCTTTCCAGAAATATTAAATAGAAAAACATATACACGGACATTTACTTACATTGGGGGGGGCAGGTTTGTGGGCCCCCTGAAGATACTTCAGGGTTCACAGGTTAAGAATTCCTGTTTTGGAGGAAATACCAAGAGTTTAAGAAGAAAAAAATAAGTATATTTTGCTAGGAAACTGTCATGTAGGGGAAAAAGCATGGACATTGGTTAGAAGTCTTTCTCAATTGATCCTTAATTTCCTTATCTGTAACATGGGGACAATACTCCCTGTTCAGGATTAAATGAGATTACAGTGTAGAGTGCATGGGTCATAGTAAATGTTTCTTCTTCCTTTTCTTAATATATGAGCAGATATGGGAGGTATTCCTGCTTAGTTTTCATATCTTGTTATTGTACAGTTTTTTACCTGAAATCGATATTGAAATCTTTAATACCATTTTAGTAGGAAACGACATTTGAGGGAATTATGGAGGGGCAACAGTACAATCCTGCCTTAAAGCTTTGCAACTGCTGTTGTCACTGCTTGGAATTCCCTTCCTCCAGATAGTCACCTAGCTACTCATCACTTCATGCACAGTTACTCAAATGTTACCTCCTCAGAGGGGCCTTCCCTGACCACATGATTAGTTTTTGATCCTCTTACTCTACTCTGTTTCTTCATAGCACTATTTCCTATTAAATATTTCATTATAAGTCATATATTTACTTGTTTATTTTCCGTCTTTCCCCATGAGAATGTAAACTCCATTCTCAGCATCTAGAATGATGCCTGGCACTAGGTAATCTATATTGAACGAATGACACGAAGGTTTGGTGCATCCTCTCATTTAGTTCCTGCAGATACCTGATTGGGGCTTGTATCGTGATCCTCTCTGTAGCAACCTATGCTCATATGAGCTATTTCATATGCTCCTCTCCTCCTGGGAATTCCCACTTCTAGCACCCCTTTTCCCAATCAGCCCAATATTCTGCAATCAATAATCTTCTAATTGTGTTCCACTTAAACCTTCCAAGATTTAAAGAGTTAATATGCCTCAGTCACTAGACTTCTGCCTTAGTCTGTGCAAACAGAAATAGCCCAGTTATCTAGCAAACTTCTTGGGTCCCAACTATGGGTAAAGCCCTATGCTAGGTGTTGTGGGAAGTGCAGAGATGAAGTTTTAGTCCCTAAGCACATACCCTATGAGAATCAGAAAAGTACACAACACAGAGGTATAGTACTATCTGGGATTGAGTCCTGACTGTACTGCTTACTTGCTATGTGACCTTGTATAGGCTTTTTTCATTGTCTTAAGCATCAATTTCACCAGCTTTAAAAAATAAATTTAAAAAGGTAACAATCATATCTATATCATAGGGTTATTCTGAGGATTAATTGAGGTAATGCATGTAAAGGTAGCAGTGTGACAGTATACCTAAAAATACAGTTAACACTCAGTAAATGTCAGCAAGTATCCTTGTTAGTAACAATATTAGCCTTCGTGTGTCTGTATAGCATTCGGTTCTTGAATACAATGGACAGTCGGGCTTGTCTTTTTGTGTTATGTTACTAGAAACCCAATCCCAACTGCTCTATTCTCCAGAGCACAGGTGAGTTACTAAATAGCAGTACCCAGAATCTCCATGACGCCAGAATCTCCATTACTGACCTTCCTTCCCCAGTTGCTGAGGACAATCACACTGGATTACCTCTGTTGACAAAATAATAAGTGTGACTCTTGGAGCATTAGCGCCAAAGATCAATCCCCTTAAGGAGATTCCAAACCATGTTTCGTTCAAGGTGCTAACTGAAAGCTGCCTGAAAACCATCAAGTGTAATAGCTCATATGAGCATAGGGTTTGGCTTTAACTCACTTTGCTCAGGTTTTGCCTAAAGTACTTGGATAAGTACTTAGAGATCATATCGACTATGCCAGTGTGAAATCATTCATATGGTCTCTTAGTCTGGAAAGCATCTTTAATTCTGTTATCTCATTAGATCCTCCCAATAACCCTGTGATCGGCATGACAGGTTCTACTGTTACTGTTTTTGTGTGAGGAGATTGAGGTTTAGCAAAATGAAGGGACTGACCTAAGTTTCACAGCTAGTAAGTGGCAAGTTCAGACTCAGAATCAGGTGTTCTAACTACAAACCCAATATTCTTTCTATATGCCTTATTAATTGTTACAAAGTTCTCCATATTGATTCAAAATCTCCCCCTTTGAATCTCTCTGGCACCACACCACAGAGAACCAGTTTAAGAATAAAAATGATATCTACTTTTTGAGTTCATACTGAGCCTCAGGCGCTCTACAAACATTCTTATTGGAATCTCACTGTAACCCTGAAGGGCAGATAATGTCAAGATAGTGCAGATGGGAAAACTGATGTTCAAGAAGATTAAGCAATGGATTAGAACCACATAAGTTGTTACAGGACAGTGCTCAACTATAAGACTGCATCTCAGTTATTTAACTTGTCACTTGTAAAATGGGGATAGGTAATGTTCTGGTAACCCCTTGTGGTGGTTATGAGGATCAATGAGAAATTGAAGGCATTCTGAACGTTTTGTAAATGTTAATGACCATTACTATTGAACATAATTAAAGTAATCTGAAAGTGGAAGTGTTGCTGAAGAGATTCATGTTTCTTTTGGGAGGGAGAATGTGGTGCTTATGTTCATTGAGGAAATTGCATTAGCGACCTCTAAAGTTCCATGGAACCTTTTATTTTAAGGGTCACAGGACTGAAAACCCAGGTCTTCAGACTCTGCAACCTCCTGTTTATTTCTCTGACTTCCTCTTCTGTTCTCTCTTTTGTTCATTCCTCTTCAAGGACAGGTTTCCTAGTTGTTCCTCAAACATGGCAGACATACTCCCACCTCAGGGATTTACACCTGCTGCCTAGAATTTTTTCACTCAGATGTTATCTTCATGGCTTACTGTTACTCCCTTCAGTTCTTGCACAAATATCACCTTAATAAGGCCTTCTTTGACTACCCTATTTAAAATTGAGAGACACATACACAAGCATAATAACCCCTCATCTCCGTTTGTGCTTATTTTTCTCCACAGCACTTATCATCATCTGGCAAACTATGTATTTTATTTATTTTGTTTATTATCTGTCTCCTATTAGATAGCCCCTGGTACATAGTAAACATTGAATAAATAATTTTTTTTTCTATACACAGCCCCAGTTCTGTTTTTAAAGTATGAAGATCTTTAAGTTATGTATTTATGTCACACCCTCTTCCAAATAGATTTGGTTAATAATTGAAGATGGAGACAGACTTGCAAATTGGAGGGTGTGGAAAGCCTGAGTAGGAGGTCTCATTCCCAGATCCCAGGCATATTGATTTTGTGACCACGGACAGCTCTGTCTAGGATCTTGATTTTTATTATCAGTAAATTGGGAACGGTTACATGTATAAGGACCTTGATTAAGGCGTGATATGTATGTTACTTGGCATTGTGATGGGCTGAGGCTCTTGGAGTTCCATCCAAGGGCTCATTAATAATGGAAGGAAAGCTCTCCTGACTTAATGCAGTGATGCCCATTCTGTGGACTGGTTACTGCTGGATTGTTTCCATCCATTCATGCCCTAGTCATTTTAGTGCCAAACCATTAACTTTACTGAAACAATTATTCTCCTCCTCAATAGCTGCCTCTCAATTGCCATATTTGGCAAAAGGTCTCTTGGAGACCCTGATCTGACTGTTTTAGTTGAGTTCAAAGAGCTTCCTGATTCAGAAACGGATTCTCTTTGACTTTGTAGTACAGCTAAGTTTTTTGTTTTGTTTTAGGGGGGGTTATTAATATTGTAGTTGTGGGGAACAGTGAATAGAATGAACACTGGCTTATAAACTCTTGGGTTTTATCTCCCAAAATTACTTTTGTCAATTATTAGCTATTTGTTTTGGGGCAAATTACTTAACCATTCTGAGTCTCAGTTTCCTCATCTCTAAAATGAAATTAATTCCTGCCTTTTCTGCTTTACAGAGTTATTGTGAGGTGGAAAATGAGATGACTAAAAATAGATTGCAGAATGTAAACAAAAAGCATTCACAGTATTCTTACAGTGACCTCACCTGCAGGCCATGGGGATGAGGTGAGAAGCATTGGGTCCTGAGAGTCTGGGCCTTAACATTACTTGGATTTTCTTCCCCAGAAGACATAAAGACAAAAAGATGTTCTGCTCCAAATTTGACAAGCCTCCATTCAGAAAAGAGTGGTTGAGTGGCAGTTCGGCCTTGTATTTGTGTGAATCCTTTGGTCCAAATGTGCTGTTAACATGTTTCTCACTTTGTTTAACTCTGATAATGCCGTCCCCCTGACTTGCTGTTTTCATTCTGTAGTCTTGGTTTTTGCCATTCCTTTCACCTTCCACATTTGTTTATTAGTGGGAAGGTGACAGGATTCTTTATCAGAAAAAGAGTTTCTGTGATTTTAACTGTGGTTATAATAGAAACCAGGCCAGGTCAGTATTGTGTTCCAGATACACAAAAGATTATATTTCTTTCAGAGTTATCACCTTTCCTGGAAAAGCTCTAGCTATGTGTCAAGAGGAACATTATTTTTTCCCATGCTGGTGACTTAAAAGAGGCGTTATCATTCCACGCAATGGACTTCGTTTAGGACTTCTTTCCTTCCCCATGGACCAGGCCCCTGGGTCTTCTGCTGCTCCTGGGTGGGGCTTTAGGAGTGCAGTTTAACTCTAGACCAGGACACTCCAGAGTTTTAAGGTGTGGGGAAGCCATTGGTCACACCTGCTAACTCACAGAGAGTAATTTGTAAATGTCAGCTTTGGGTCTGTCTTTCACAGAATCTAGTGAACAAATTAACTGCTCTCACACCAGATTCTGAGCTTAGGCTTGGCAGCTGTGATGGGGTTCTGGGTTGGCGGAAGCCCACCTTTGTGTTTTGGAAGAGTGACTGCTCAGTGTATGAGGTGCCTTTAACAGCCTGTTTTGTAGTGGGTCTGGCTGCGGCCCTGTCACATTGACACTGGGGAGATAAATTCCTTGGTCACTCCATAGGGGATAATGTTTTCTCTTACCAGATACAAGTGACCTTCCTTTGAATCCCAAAAGTTGCATTAAGGCCAGTTCAGACTCTCACCAAACTTTCTCTTGTGCAGCTTGGTCCTGACTGCTTTTTACATCTCTTTTAGAGCTCTGAGCTCTTCACCCTGACCTATGGCGCTCTGGTCACCCAGCTATGCAAGGACTATGAAAATGATGAAGATGTGAATAAACAGCTGGATAAAATGTGAGTGAGCTTCTCTGTGGGAGCAATAAGAATGGAGCTCCCTAGCACATTGAATCTACATGGTTCTTTAGAGCTCAGAATAGGGTTATCTCTCTTGTAACCAACATTTTAGTTTCCACTGAACTCATTTATTGAGATGTTTTGGAATTATTCCATTTTCCTTTTACCATTAACAGCTTTATGTTTAGATATAAGATATTCAGACCCCGTAATATAGTCTTCTCTCATTTGCTTCCCAGGGGCTATAACATTGGAGTCCGACTGATTGAAGATTTCTTGGCACGGTCAAATGTTGGAAGGTGCCATGACTTTCGGGAAACTGCAGATGTTATCGCCAAGGTCATTATCCTGGGCCAGCTGGCCATGTCAAAGGATTGTCACTGGGGGGGGCACTGCTTACCGCTCTCTCTGTCTCCCTTAGGCCCTTAGCATTCCAAAAGACTAGTTAGGCAGCTATTTGGACCAAAGAAGCCTTCCTGGTGGTTTGAGAATAACACAGATTATGAAAATAGGAAGAGTGGTTGGGGTCATTCCTGTAGATTAAAGCCCCACTGAAATCAAAGCCAGATCTCCTTAACTGTGAAGACGCAGCAGAGTAGCATGGGGGTTATTAATACAGACAAACCTGGCTTCAAATTCTGACTCCAATACTTACTAGTTCTTAAGTAAGTTATTGTTAACCTCTTTAATTACCGGTTACCTCATCTTTAAAATGAAGAAAATAAGAGCTATCTCACAGGGTGTAAGGAGTAAATAAAAAAAAAATGAACAGGTATTCAGGTAAAATGAATGCACTTAACGTAGTATGTGTATAATAAATGTTTGTTGTTAATAATATTGTTATATAACACAGGATTGATGAAACACCTATAGCTTTGTGGTGTCAGTTACCTAAAGGTTGGTTCTTTTTGTTGTGGAGCGTGTCGGCCATACCCAAATCCTAGAGAGGGTTGGCAGTGGAGAGAGTTTTGTGAGGGTTTGAAATTAGGAGGGTAGGTAGAGGGAAGGATGTGTTCAGAGTAATTCTGCCCCAGTGACCTGTATTCGCTTTCAAAAAGGGTTCAGATGGCACAGAGGACAGGGAAGTGGTTTGGCCCTCTCCTCACTCAGATGCTGGTTCAGGGCAGGCACCCCACTCAGAAGATAAGTGCTCCCTTCTGCTAAGACGTGCAGGTGGATAGCACGTTGTTGCCTAGTTTACGATGCCTCGAAAGAGAGGGATGTGGAGCTGTGCACAAGCGCCTTTTTTTCTTTGTTCTGAATACCTTCCCTGTCATACAGCCCCTACTACTCTTCCCATTGTGCTGTTGTGTGTCCTCTGACAGGTGGCATTCAAGATGTACTTGGGCATCACTCCAAGCATCACCAATTGGAGCCCAGCTGGTGATGAATTCTCCCTCATTTTGGAAAATAACCCCTTGGTGGACTTTGTGGAACTTCCTGATAACCACTCATCTCTTATTTATTCCAATCTCTTGTGTGGGGTGTTACGGGGAGCCTTGGAGATGGTGAGTGCAGCTCTTTACCTTCTGGGACACCTGGAATATAGCAGGGGCTTGATAAATGTTTTAATGAATAAGAGAGAGAAAAGAAAGGCCTTTGGCTTACCCAGCGCTTCATTGCCTGAGATGGTGATGCTGCTGACCATAGGCTCCAAGCTGGATGTCTCTATGTGGTGGTGATCCTCCCTGCCAGGCTGGGAGAAGGTGCTGTTAGCACCCAAAGCCCAGAACATCCAGTCCTAGATTGGCTTATTTGGTAACAGTCTCATTTATTTGGGGGTGTTCTTTGCTAAGTCTCTCTTTGTGGGGTAGGGCCACTGCCTTCTGCAAGGGAACATTAGCATTGACAATCTTGTCCTGCAGAAAACCAGCCCCCTATTTTTGGCTGCTGTGGATGAGCTAGAGGCTGTGGCTAGGCAGCCATCTCTTTTTCCCACTATCTCCCAGGTCCAGATGGCTGTGGAGGCCAAGTTTGTCCAAGACACCCTGAAAGGAGACGGTGTGACAGAAATCCGGATGAGGTTCATCAGGCGGATTGAAGACAATCTCCCAGCTGGAGAGGAGTGACCGTCCCCAGGACTTCAGGGTAGCCAGCAGGAGCACTTGTTGGAACCAGAAAGCCTCAGCGCTCTCTCTGCCCTGTAGAACTCAGTGACTCTTTAACACGGATGTTATATATTCTTCTAACCTTGTTTCCATTCTCCATGCTAGCTAGGAAAGAGCAGACTGCGACATAGTCCATTTACTCCACAAGTGTGCACATTCAGGAGGGAAATTCTTTGCTTCCTCTCCCTTCAGAGGGGCTGGATGTAGTCATCCTTGGTTGGACTAGAAAGAGCTCAACCATTTTACATTCCTGTTTGAATTTTCCAAAGCAAAACTCACTTTGACTCCATTAAGAGGCAAGCCTAGAACATCTATCCCTGGACCTTCAGAAAGCCATTGGGAAATGGCTGTAGGGGACCCAGGTTGTGGAATGGGGAGAAGGGGCGGCAAGGGGTGGGTAAGAGTTGTTAGCTGCAGTGCGACACACTCTAGTGCTTGCCAGGAAAGGGGAGCCAGTCGTGCTGGGAACACCGACTCCTGGGAGGCTACCCCGGTTTCTTGTTACTCCCTGCTGTTTGGAGGCAACATCTCCTCTTTTTACAGACGGTTCATCCTTTTTTTCTTACAAATTCTTCAATAAAGACACATTCTTGAGTGAAATTCCAGTCCTGTCCTGTTTTCTTTCTGCTAATCCCTGGGAATTTTGTTGCAGTGGGGTGAGGAGACCAGCTAAGTTCCTGGACCTGCCTCGATTTTACCTGGTCTAGGAATGGTTTCTCCCTACAGACCTGAGAGCCTGGGAAACCTGGGAGCAAATGAGGCCCCTTCAGAGTCATTTTTAGGTCTACTGTCTGTAGTAAAATGTGGAAGTAGACTATTATCCCAGACATGCCTGAAATGAACTATCCTGGGCTTTTGGCCACCTAGTCAAGGGATTTGGCTCAGAAAGCCATGTAAACCTTGGTGTTGGGTACCATTTATTGAGTGCTTACTGCGTGTCAGACACGAGCACTTTACATATATTATCTCATTCACAATTCCATCTTTAGAGGGGAGGCTCCAGGTTGCCCAAGGCCATACAGCTAATAAATGGAGAAGCTAGGGTTCAAAGCCTGATTAGCATTGTGGAGAAGAGGGGCATCAGATGGTCAGGCCTTACTTGGCAGCACCATTCTTGGGGACAGCCTAGGGCCTCGAGATCTAGCTACTCGGGTTGTTGGGAGGGGGTGAAATAGGGCCTCTAGGCTTTCCTCAAGGTTAGTAGACAGTTCTGAGATGAGCGATTATAGATACATTGTGCTCGAAGTGTGTCTTGGTTGTATAGGTTAGGACCAAGTTCTGGGACACCAGTAAGAGGCAGTTTGCACAGGACTTGCCTCTTCCAGCTGACTTAAACCACCTAGCCGGAAGAGGAGAAAAGAGGAGAAAAGGTCACTTTTATGTCTCCAAGTATAGGGAGGCTCATGCTCCCTCTGGGGTCCCATCCTTTTCTGAGCTTCTACCTCCCCCTCCAGGTACAATTTGGGGCCCCAGGGCAGGTATCCCATTTTTAGTCATCTGTACCCTTAGCACCCACTATAAGGCTGGATCCAATTGCAGTAGAGTTTGAATGAAAGCAAGATTAAGTGAATGAATGCTGGGGCCCAGATGTGGAAAGAGTTGTGTGGTGTCCAGTCCCTGCCAAGAAAAGTGAGCTCCACACTTTCCCTTCTCCAGGGGCCCCTCGCCCTTCCTCTCCTCCCAGCACCACAACCAACTTTCCAGCAGCCATTTGTGTGGTGTGAGGTTTTGGATATTTCCTTTTCCAGAGCTAATCTTGGGCAACATTACAGGGTAGTCAAACTGTGGAAACAAAGCCCCCTTAGTGACTTTTCCCAGTTACAGCCCCACTACTATGTCACGTGCACCCAGGGGCTGAGAGAAAGAAAGGGGCTGGTGCTATGCGAAACATCACTTCATCATCTTTCCCAAATGAGCCTAGCATACAAGTTCCAGCAAGCTAACTTCTGGTCCTACCACCCCATGATTAATTATTGTAGATTACGTATCCCTCTGCCTTACTATGAATGTGAGGCTGGGACCCTCCCCCAACCCTAGGCTAGGCTATTCCCCATTCTTTTTGATATGTTGGCATGCCCTCCCAGCAAGATGAGGCAGGTGCGCCTGGCTATATGGGAAAGACTGGCTAACGAGGAGGGTTCTCAATGAGCCTGGGTCACAGAAGAGTTCTGGAGCTGGAGGGGTCCATACTGGTGGCCTTGGTGGGCTTGGTGGTGGCTGGGCAGAGCTCTAAGGAAAGGCCTCGTTCTACAGTCTTTGGCCACCAGGGGTCTCCGGATCACCACAGTACTATCTCAGAGAGTGCCCACTGGACTCCTGGTTTTCACAATGTGGTAGAAGATGCACCTGATGGAGCAAATCTCAGAGCTGGTCAGAGCCAGGAAGTGCCCCTTTCCTCCCGTCACGCCCATGAGACCTGAAAGCAAAGCTCACATGGCTGCCAGGCTGAGGGCCTGCCTATCGAACCCAGCTCACTGGCAAGAGCACATGAGCTAAGAAGTCAGTGGCCCCCGGGAACTCTCATGCTGGCCTCCCGCATTGTATAAGCTACCTCTGAGCCCACCCCAACTAACCCCACTTACCTACTGAGTGGGGACCAGAGCACACCAGCCTGGTTCCCCTGGCGTTAAGAAAGTCCTATTCCTGCCCCAGACTCCTGCCAGTGACATTTCCATATTCAGGTTATGCCTTTCCCTGGTGGATTGGCCGCCTTAAATGTGTACTGAGCAGCGAGGTCTGTGAAGGAGGTAGCAACAGAGGCCCAGGAGCAGAAATTACATTAAGTAAAATTAAAATAGTCTCCTAACAAGTAGTTCATTGTGGATGGCTGGGGGTGGTGATGCAGGAAAAGCATCCTCCCGGTTCTCTCAGAGCTTAAGTGCTACCATGTGCTGTTCCCTGGAAGCCAGAGGGCCTGTGGGAGGAGGGGGAGGATGGCAGAAGGCGAGGAGCCTCACTGTTACCAATCCCCAGCCTTTGATGTAGGGCCAGACCTGACCCCAGGACGGCTGCTGGCCACTGCCAGGGGAGCTGTGGGATGCAAGGCATTCCTAGGGGCGATTTACGTTCTGGCAGGAGGAGAGGAAAGTTTCTACTGTGAGGAAGGGGGGGAGAGAGAACCCTGCAGCAGAGGATGTGGGGTGGGTGTTTTGAGGAACAATGGAGGGAGCCAAGGCACAGGACAGCACCTTCCTGCCTACACCTGGCTAACTTACCAGGCTTGGGCGGAGGCCTCCTTGAGGAAGCCTTCTCTGATGGATCCAGAGCTGGTGAGGATCATCACCTGCCCCACCACCACATACACGGGCCCTCACGGGTGTAGCCCTAGAGGATGCAGGCAGAAGCAGCTGCTCTTCTCTTCTGGTTCTGGGGGCCTAGACGGTCAGCCAAGGAGGGCAACTAGGACTGAGCTAGGCTAGAGGAGGACTGGGAAGATGGTGTGATTGGCATGAGGGCATGTGTGAGTACAGACCAATGTTATTCATAGCAACAGCTAATATTTATTGCAGTGACTATGTGCCAATGGTAGTCTAAGCATTTCACATATATTTCTCATCTAGTATTCACAACAAGCCTATTACTATTCTTATTTCGCGGATAAGAAAACTGAGACACACAGCTAATACATAGTAGATTCAGGATTTGAACTCAAATAGTCCAGTACTGGACATCAAGCTTTTGTCCAGTACAACATGTGTTATGTATATATATATATGTTTGTGGTTCAGTGTGTGTCTCTTTCCTTGTGTTCCTTGGGAAGTGTGTCTGTATGTGAATTCTTTCATTTAATAAAAATGTAGCCTTGTGCTAGGGGCAGGGGACATGGAGATGCTGGAAGCTTCAGTCCATAGGGAAGCAGCTGAATACAATGTGTGTGTGGTGGGGGGAGGAGAGGAGAGGTTGAAAACGAGAGACAAGGGCAAGTCCTGGCTCTGCTACTTATTGGTTATATGACACTGGACAAGGAGTTTGAACTCTGAGCCTTAGGTTTGTCATCTGGAAAATGGTGATTATAATAATGCCTATCTTGATGATTATTTTAAGGATGAAACAAGATGAAGTATGTAAATTTCCTGGCAGGCTGAGTATTCCCTGATTGGCAGCTACTATGAACATGATTGTTATTAGGGGAACTGTCTTGTATAACTACGTGTATGGATATGTGAGTGTCTGAGTGTGTGCAGATGGTAATTTTGTGAAACCATGTCTTTGTTGTTCATTGCTATATCCCCAAGCATCTAGCACTACTTTTCAGCACCAAGTAGGTGCTTAATACATTTTTATTGACTGAGTATGAACTGAGTATGAGAATGGAATGAGGAGGCGCCGCAGAGAGAGGGACATGTGGGCAGCGTGCTGGACATCAAGCTTTTGTCCAGTACAACATGTGTTATGTATATATATGTTTGTGGTTCAGTGTGTGTCTCTTTCCTTGTGTTCCTTGGGAAGTGTGTCTGTATGTGAATTCTTTCATTTAATAAAAATGTAGCCTTGTGCTAGGGGCAGGGGACATGGAGATGCTGGAAGCTTCAGTCCATAGGGAAGCAGCTGAATACAATGTGTGTGTGGTGGGGGGAGGAGAGGAGAGGTTGAAAACGAGAGACAAGGGCAAGTCCTGGCTCTGCTACTTATTGGTTATATGACACTGGACAAGGAGTTTGAACTCTGAGCCTTAGGTTTGTCATCTGGAAAATGGTGATTATAATAATGCCTATCTTGATGATTATTTTAAGGATGAAACAAGATGAAGTATGTAAATTTCCTGGCAGGCTGAGTATTCCCTGATTGGCAGCTACTATGAACATGATTGTTATTAGGGGAACTGTCTTGTATAACTACGTGTATGGATATGTGAGTGTCTGAGTGTGTGCAGATGGTAATTTTGTGAAACCATGTCTTTGTTGTTCATTGCTATATCCCCAAGCATCTAGCACTACTTTTCAGCACCAAGTAGGTGCTTAATACATTTTTATTGACTGAGTATGAACTGAGTATGAGAATGGAATGAGGAGGGGCCGCAGAGAGAGGGACATGTGGGCAGTGTGGGCCTCCATCAGGACCAGTTACATAAATTACAGGGCTCGGTGCAAAATGAAAACGCAGAGACCCTTGTTCAAAAATTATGAAAAAAAAAGTATTAGGAATTTCAAGATGACCCAGCAGAGCATTAAACCAAGCCCTTCTGAGTAGGGGGCTCTATGTGACTACACAAGCTGACACCCATGAAGCCAGCCCTGGCCTCCCACTCCCCGTAGAGCATCACTAGCCCCCAGCCCAGCTATGGAGGAGGGAGTATAAGGAGAATCCACCCACGGCCTGCCACTCTTCCTGGGCCGCCCGAGGGAAAGTGGGGAAGGGGAAGGTTTACTCTGTGTGGGCAGGCCAGGAGAAAGCAGAGGGAGGGACCTAATGACCTACAGACCTCTCCCCCAAGGAGTGTCCTATCGCCACTCCCACCCCGCCACCAAACCTCCAACCAGGCCACTGGGTGGTCTGAGCACATGTGGTCACATTTATATGTTAATTGAAGTAAAATTGTTATAAGATTAGAATATTTAAGGTAACTTTAATTTCCACTGCATTTCTGGGATTTTTGAGGATCCTG